GTGGTGATGAAGATCAAAGATTGCAGCCTTCAGTGTGGACTAAAACTCAAGGTAAGGAAGACCAGAATCCCCTCAACTGGACCAAGGGGTAACATCATGATAAATGGAGAAAAGGTTGAATAATGAAGCATTTTGTCCTGCTTGGATCCACAATCAGTACTCATGGAAGCAGCAGTCGCACAATCAAAAGACGTATTGCGAGGGGTAAATCCACTACACAGGACCTCTTTAGGGTGTTGAAGAGCACGGATGTTGCTTTGAGAACTAAGGTGTGCCTGACCCATGGGATTCTCCACTACCTCGTATGCATGTGACAGGTGGACACTGAATACAAAGGACCAAAAAAAGGATCAATGCATTTGAATTCTGGTGCAGGAGAAGACTACTGAAAGTTCCACGGACTGCTGAATAAGGACAAACTGATCGGTCTTGGAAGAAGGAAGGCCAGAGTGCTCCTTGGACTTCATCTTCCATACTTTGGATGTGTCGTCAGGTGAGACCAGTCCCTGGAGAAGGACAGCATGTTTGGTAAAGGGGAGGACAGCAAGGATGGGAAGCCCTCAATCAGATGGATTGACACAGTGGCTGCATCAGTGCTCAGAGAGAGGCACCATTGTGAGGACGGCACAAGACCGTGCAGTGTTTTGTTCTGTTGTGCATAGTGTTGCTGGGGGTTGGAGCTGACTCAATGGCACCTAACAACAACAACAACAACAACATGGTTGACATCAGTATATATGCACACACACACATATGTATATGTGTAATTCGCCTCATATGGATGTCAAAGTTGGACATTGACGAAGGAAGACCAAAGAAGAATCAATGCACGTGACTTGTGGTTCCGGCAAAGAATACTGAAAGACTGCGGACTGTCAAAAGAACAAACAAATCTGTCTTGGAAGAGGTGGTGCCCCAATGCTCCCTAGAAACAGGGACGGTGAGCCATCAACTCAAATCCTAACCGGAGCCCTGTAAAACGGGCAGTGGCCTCGTTCAGGTCAGTTGCAGATGAAGGCAGGGACGCTTGATGACCCATGCCGCTGAAATCATCTCACGGCCAACGAGTGACAGAGCCAGGTGGAACCACCCCGCGTGCACAGTTCTGAAATCCACAGGTGGCTTGATGAGCTGTAATGTACTCACTCTGCTGGGTTGAAAATTAATCTGCAAAGGGTGACGTGTAGGAAGTTTGGGAAGGAGTAAATCTGTTAAAAAGATGGTTCCCATAGACATCGTCTATATAAAGCTGGGACAAAATGCAGCCAGAACGCTCCTTAGAGGCAAAGATGGCGAGACTTTGTCTCGTATACTTTGGGCATGTTGTCAGGGGAGACCAGTCCGTGGAGAAGGACACACTGCTTGATCAAGTAGGAGGCCAGCAAAAAAGAGGAAGTCCCTGGGCAAGGTGGACTGACAAGATGGTTGTACCTCGGCTGTCGCTCTGAGTCGGAACTGACTCACAGCACCTAACAGCAGCCCATTGGGTTGCCAGCTGCGAGATTAGTCTGAATTTCACAGCAGCTGCATGGAGAAGTGGGAGGCGGTCTGCTGCTGTGAGGATTATAAGGAATAGTTATCCTTTGTCCTCCAGGGTCAGTCTGGGTTGGGACAGCCTCCGCTGCACAGTGTGTGTTACCGATTTGACATGATCTCTTTGTGGTTGCTAGGTCCCCGCGAGTCAGTTCTGGACAAAACACCACGCTGTCCTGGACTATTTGAAAGTACCAGTGACCTAGCTCTCGGCATTGCTGCACACACAGGCTGCCACAGTGTGACAAAGTGATGGCAACCGATGTACAAATATGCTCGATACTGTGGACACCCACGGGGGTAGTTGTGCCTTGTCCTGTAGGGTTGCTGTGGGTCAGCAGGAACGTGGTGGCAGTGAATGAGTGCTTCCATAGGTGTTGATTGTAGATTCAAATAAAATGAAAGCCTTGGCAACTTGGATATTTCCTCTGTTTACCAGGAGGTTGTCTCTTGGTCCACTTGGGAAGGTTTTTATTTTCTTTCTATTAACTCGTAATCCATACGGAAGTCGTTGACACTGTCATCCTTGATCTCCATCGTAAGTGCTTCATTGACTGTGAGCACACAGGGTTGCGGTATCTGTGCTTCCTAAACCGTTCCTGAGACTTCCTCTCACCCTGACGCTGTGTTCTATGCATCTCCAGCTCTCTGGGTTATTTACTCCACATGGAGATTGAATAAGAACGGCGAAAGGATGCAATGTGGACATTCACTTAAAAAAAAAACGTCTTAAATATACTAGGTGGGGGGGCTACATTTCAGATCATTTTTGTTCAACAATTTAAACAACTTATCAACTCTCCCAAAGCTTGTCCCGCCCTGTGTTTGCTCTCTTCGCTCATTTGTTGAGCACTGTCTTCCCTGCCCCTTTGCTAGCACCTGTCTACCCTCGGCTGCTTCTCCTGCCCACGCTTCCCCTGCCACCTCTGCTAACCATCAAGTCGGCTTTGTTTGTGTGGTTTTTTTGGTACCGATAGCCTTCCTCTTCACTTTTTTCCTTTTCTAACAGTGGTCTCAATCAGTATCTGCCCATTTGTGGTTGACGAATGCCACTCAGCATAATGCCTTCCATCCATCCGTCCACATTAGGAGTTGTTTCAGCTTCATCATCATTCTTCAGTGAGGCGCATGTCTAGTTTCCTATTGTGACACACTTTTTCTGGTGGTAAATCATTCAGTGTCCCCGTGCTCCACCCTATTGACTGCTCTCTGGTCCATGGGAGGACAGAGAAGTGTTCTGGAATTCCCATTGTTCTCAACGTTGTTCGTAGTCTGTTGTAACTATGCCTTTGCATAGTCAACAAGACACAAACATACATCGTTCTGGTATTGGCTGCTTTTAGCCAAGATCCACCTGATAGCAGTGATAGTCCTCAAGCTACGTCCTCTTCTGAATCTAGCTCGAATGGAGCTCCCTGTCCGTGGACACCTGCAACTGTGTGTTGTTGTTTTTTATTTATTGGCAGCAAAATTTCGCTTGCGTGGGATACTATTCAATAATGTCTGCATTCCTCTGGGGGACCTTTCTGTAGACTGGGCATACATAGGGATCTCTTCCAGTTGGCTGGCCAGAGCCTTGTCTTCCAAACTCTTTAGCCTAGACTAGTGAGTGCTGTCGACGCTTGTGGAAGCACGCAGGTGCAACTGGTATTCTGTCAATTCCTGGAGCCTTGATTCTCACTGCTGCCTCAGCTGCCACTTGGACTTCCTCCCCCCACGCCATTTGTTCTTGGTCACATGCTACTTCTTGAAATGGTTGAATGTCAACCATTATTTTTGGCATGGCCGCATACAAGATTTTACTGACAGAATCTTTCAGTATTGCAATTCAAGGCTTGTAATATTTTCAAGTTCTTTCAGTTTGATATATGCTTACCCTATTCTTCCTTTGTTTTTCTCACTGCAGGTCTCTGCATGTTTTATTATGATATTTCACCTGTCTTCTCAGGGTTCTCTGCGATTGTCAGTCATCGTCTCTTCCATCTGCTTCAGCCACTCTACATTCAAGGGGAAATGTCAGAGGCTCTTCTCAGAGCCACCTTGACCTTTATTTTTCATGACCTTTTGCCTTCTTCATGCCATCCCACAACTTAGCAAATCTTTGGTCATTAGTGCTCAGTGTGTCCAATCTGTACTTGAGGTGTTCTAGAACATTCAGGTGGGATAGACTCAAGGTCATATTTTGGCTCTCGTGGACTTGTTTTTATTGTCTTCAAAGTTAACCTGAACTTGCGTGTGAGCAACCGAAGGTCTCTTGTGCCAGTTCCCGGACCTTGTTTTGGCTGATGATACTGAACCACTCCGTTATCCTTTCCTACAGGTGTCGTTACTTTGATGTCTGGGTGCTCCCTCTGGCAAAGTCTATGTAGACGGGCACCATTTATATGATTGTGGAAAATGTGCCCAATGACGAAGTCGTTGCTCTGGCAAGATCCTGTCATGCACTCTCCAGCTTTGTCCCTGTCACCAAGGCCACATGTTCCAAGACTGTTCTCTCCTCTGTTTCCCACGTTTGCATTCCAGTCACAGTAGTTGTCAACACATGGAATGCAGCTTTGATCAGTTTCCATCAGAAGTTGGTAGAAGTCTCCAATTTCTTCGTCACTGCATACATTTGGATTGTCGGCATATGAACTGGTTTTCCTTATAGGCAGATAGATATTATCACAGACAGTGTAGTGCTTTAAAATAGATTGTTAGTGTTCTTTTGGATGATGTCTGTGACTCGATCCCGCTTGGATTTGTCCTTTCTAACGTAGTAACCCATATGATCACCCAATCAAATGGCCAATACCAATCCATTTCAGCCCACTCATGCCCAGGATCGGAAGATCGGTCTCTGTGCCTTCCGTTTCATTTTTGACCACCTCACACGCATCTAGGTTCAGATTTCATACACTCTGTGTTCTACTAATTAGTAGAAGTTTGCAGCCATCTCTTCTCATTTTGGATTGCGCCCCGTCAGCAAATAAAGATTCCAAAAGTTTTGTTTCATCCACCTCCTTGAGGATGGCTCTGCTTTGAGGAGGCTGCTCGTTCCCGGTCGTCACTTGCGTGCCTTCCAAGTTGAGGGGTCCTCTCCCAGCACCGCCTCACACAGTGGTCCGCTGCCACGCCTGAGGCTGTCAGTGGCCAATCCCTTCTTTGTAGTCAGTTCGTAGTCTGGCAGTCCTGCTGAAACGTGTTCACTGTGGGTGTCCCTGCAGGTCTATAAAATACCACGGTGTCGTTTCCAGCATCACAAGATGACCAGAGCTGGCAGGCATGTAGCGGGGCGATGCAGGCATAGGATTTACAAATACCTCAATCCACCCTCTTTCAAAAACCAGGCAGATGACTGGATCTCCTTACCATTTGCTCAGTGCTGGTTGCGATGTGGGGGGTGCGATGACAAGTTGCGACACCGGCAGAACTGCGTGCCGTCGCGGGGAGACACTAACCTTGTTGGCATCTGCTTCCTTTCTAAGCTCCCCGAGAAGCTGCTCTTCTCCCAAGGCTGTAACTGGATCCAGCAGTACAGTTTTGGTCCTGAGAAATACACAGGTTCCAACGTGTTCGGAAAGTTACGCAAATGTGTGGAGCTATTAAAAACTCAGGTGAGTGCGTCGGGGGACAACGGAAGACTGAGAATGGCCACACGCGTCTGTCCCATTGCAGCCCCTCATCTCTAGCGGCAGCCGCAGCCCTGTGTGTTGGGTAAAGAGGGACCGGGACACGGGGCCGAAAGTTCTCAGCACTGAAGTGGCCTTTCCCGCGGCCTTGCTCCTCCCATGGAATGAAGGAGAGCAGCATTGTTCCACTCAACTGGGCTCCGCCTTCTCCCGCCTCGGGGCACTGGACAGGCACATGCCTTTGTTTCCAGACCAGCAGTCCAGGAATGCCCTGGAACGCGTCCTACTGAGTGCTCAGGAGGGTACCGGTGTCAACGTGTGACCTGGCATTTCCTCTCATACAGACACAGAGGCCTCGGTCACAGTTCTCAGTGCTGCCCCGACAGAAGTACCACATGTAGGAACGTGAACCAAAAGAAATGCGTTCCCTTTATTCTCCCCCAGGCCAGGCGTCCAGAAGTCCAAATTCCGAGCGCCAGCTCTGGAGAAGGTCCTTGTCCCTCTGAGCTTCTGCTCACAGGAGATCTTCACGAGACCTGGCAAATCTCTCGCCCCGTCTCTGCTCTGCACAGGAAACCAACTGGAGACGCGGGGCACACCAACCCTGCCCTGTCACTATAAGCAAGACAAGCTGCTCCCACATGGGGTTATAGCCACAGGCAGAGAACTTAGGATTTGTCATGCACAGTGGGTGCATAAGCCCCATACATTACGGGCTTCTAGAATTAATCCTGGGCCCACCATTTCTTAGCTGGGCTGTCTTGGTTCCATCATTTCCTGAGGTGTAAAACTGAAATTAGAATAACGTCCAGCCTGCGTGGTATAAACGGTTCATAGGCTCTACAGCTAACTGACCGCCTTGGTGTCAGCTTGGAGGAGCCTCGGAAGAAAGGCCTGCCAACCGGTCTCCTTTGGAAAAGCCCCATGAGTGACAGGTTTACGGTGACACACGAGGTGACCATGCGCTGGTGTCAACTGCACAGCAGTTGATTCCGCTTGGTTCTCCACCTTCCCAAGCAGAGATCCCGAAACTCATTCAGCCTTCCAGCCCCTTGGCCAAAACCAACAGCAGCATTACTCAGCACCCCTCTGGCAATCCAGGCCTGCACCCCACAGTCCGGTTAAAGTATAGGTATCTGTGGATGCTTCCAGCCCCTCCCCCCCCCCCGCCAGGGGGCGCTATCGCCCACTTTGGGCAGCACCGATGCACAGTTCTTGTGAGGAGTGAGTGTGTGAGTGTGAGCGTGCTATCGCCCTGGTGGGAGTGTATGCTGCGTGCTTGCAGTGCTGTGAGTGTGAGGAGCACTCGCTCTCTCCTCTGCTGGAATATCCTTTGTCATCTTCGGCCGCTTTAGCTTCACAATCGTTTTCGAAAGTATAGTATACCTCCAGTGTGCCAGGCTGTAACAGAACCACATCCATTCTTGACTATGTGTTGATATTCCGTGGCACCAAAAGACGGCGGGAGGTCCTCACCCTTCCACGGTCTGGTTCTGGTGGCCAGGTGGTGATAACACATGCCGTCGTCCCTCCTTCTCAGTCCCCCTCTGGCGTCTCTGTTTCAGTGGACCGAATTCAGCAGCGTGAAGGACCAGCACAAGAGAGGGAGTAAGTGCAACATGCTGTTTTCCGACGCGATCCTGGAATACCGCCTGTACGAAGCGTTGAAGTTCATCATGTTGTATCAAGTCACGGAAGTGTACGAGCAGCTGAAGGCCAAGAAAGCCGTCCCCAGCCTCTTCAGCCTGCTCTTCTGCAGGGACACCTCCCCCGACCCCCTGAGCTTCATGATGAACCACCTGAACTTGGTCGGGGACACGTGTGGTCTGGAGCGGGTGAGTGGTCTGTGTGGGGAGGTGAGCGCGTCACACCCAGCAGCCACGAATCCAGTGGCCTTGCGTGGCCCTCCTGACGCTGTTGCCCCGTCAGCTCCCCCTCCTGGCGCTCCCGTGCCAACAGCACAAACCGTTGCCCACGCCCGAGCCACCTTGTCCGTGGTCGCAGCTATTGAGCGTGTTGTTTGTGGACATTCATCCCCCTCCGAAGGAGAGAAAGGAACCCTGGTGCTGTCGCGGGTAACCCATTGGGCTCCTAACCCTGAGGTCAGCAGTTCGAAACCTCCAGCCACTCCACCCGAGAGAGTTGAGGCTTTCTGCTCCCAGGTGGAGTTAGCCGTTTTGGAAACCCCCAGGGGTAGTGCAGCTCCATGCCCAAGAGTCTCCGTGTGTCAGAACTGACTGGGGACTCCATGAGGGAGAGTTTTTTTGAAAGAGGGAAAAAAAAAACCCAACAAAACTCACTTGCCACCGAACTGGTGCTGACCCTGCAGGACCAGTAGGACAGCCCCGGTGAGGTTCCCAGCCCGTAGCTGTTTACAGGGGTAGAAAGCCCCGGCTTTCTCCCGAGCAGCAACTGTGGTCTCAGACTGCTGGCCTCGCAGTCAGCAGCCCGGGTTGTAACCACTGCAGCACCGGGGAACGCGCTCTGTGGGGGTGGCCGTGTGCCAGCGGCCGGGGTGATAATCAGGACAAAGTCCACTTGGAAAGCCGGATCGCGTACTAACGCCTGGGGAAGCATTGGGTAGTCATGGCAGGAGCGAAGGAGACGTTTCAAAACCAGAGAATGCCCTGGAAGGGGTTTCTCGCTGGTTTCAGTTGGCGAGCAGTGTGTGCAGACTTTACACACACTGATTTAAGATAACATTAAGCTCACTTTTATTGTAAACGTTCTTTTCTCCCCACAGAGATTTTCCCTTTGATCCCTACCACTGCCACCCTGCCTCCCCCGCCCCTCGCCCCCATTGCTCACTTTTCCCCTTTGTCCCCGTCACAAGCATGTGTTCCCAACTCAGGGCCCCACTCTGCCATTTACGGACAGGTCATAAACACACAGATCCTTCCATAAAGCGTGGGGTGGCGGGAGGACAGGGGCGTGAAAGTGTGTCTCTGTGACCGGTCTGTCATCTCGTCCCCAGATTGATATGTTTATACTCAGCTACTCCCTGGAAGTCAAGATCAAAGTGCTCAGACTGTTCAAGTTCAACTCCAGGGACTTCGAAGTCTGCTACCCAGAGAAGCCCCTCCGAGAGTGGCCGGAGATCTCGCTGCTGACTGAGAATGACCAGCACTATCTCATCCCCGTCTTCTAAACCGGGCCTGATGGGCGCAGGCTCGGCCCAGGGACAGTGGCCGCCCTCGCACGCACAGTTCCTTCTTCCAACCCAAAGCTGGTGCTGCAGCCGCTGACCCGACTGGACAGGGATGCCTCTGTGGCCACTCCTAAGTACTCGGGGCTGGAGCCCCACAGGTGGGCTGGCTCTGCCGTGTCCGCAGTGACTTTCTACGTGCTGCTGCATGGTTGACCTTGGTCAGAGGACTCCTTGGTCACGTCCCATGAAGGCCAGCCGTCGGGAGCAGAAAGAGCAGCAGCAGCAGGAGGTGGGGAAGAAGGAGAAGAAAACACGTCAAGAAAAGCAATTGAGGCTCTGAAAAAGAAAGAGTCCCCTTGTGTCCACCCCTTGTCATCTTTGGTTGGACTCGCCGCTTTGACTCACCCAGGGACAGCCAGCCTGGCTGATCTTCCCAGGAGTCTCTATGGCCCACAGACATTCCCAAAGTGCTCCTTGAACTTGACATCTCTGCGCGTGTGTATGTGAAGTCTCGTGTGTGTGTGTGTGTGTGTGTGTGTGTGTGTGTATCTACACACATGACGTGTGCGCAGGGCTCCCCCGTCAGAATCACCTGCAGAAGTGCAGGTAGCCCACGTGGTGAGTCGCAGAGCAGCAGGAGGAAACGAGCAGGGGCTGGCTGACTCAGAGGTCCACATGTATAGTTTCTGTGTACACACATGCACCCCCCACCCAACCACGACTTAGTCGTGTTGGACAGGCTTGTTGGACAGCTCTTTCTCTCTGTCATCGTCCTCATGACTGTCGCCTCTGGCCACCCACTTTGTATCGCTGCGGAAGATAAATCCTGCCAAGGAAGGCAAGTCCAGGACAGTTATTGGACTTTCCCCCATACGGCACCGTGGTGTATTTGATGGGTGTTGCGGGGGGACGTGAACACGGGACCTCGTTGGGGTGGGAGGAATGATACCCCTCCCCCACCACACACAGATGCTGTGTCCTCATCCTCACAACGCACGCGCACAGCCAGTTACCAGCAAAGGGGGATAAAAACTGCGCGTGGAATTCAGGTCATCAGCTGACCTTGAACAAGGGAGGTTGCCTGGGTTGTCCAGCTGGGCCCAGTGTCATCACGGGGGGGAGGTACAAGTAGAAGAGGGCTGGAGAAAGAAGGGGGGATGGGAAACGCCCAAGGACATAAGAGGCTGAGCTGCTGGCTGTGAAACAGGAGAGAGGGGTGGCCAGGAGCCGAGGGACACAGGCGGCTTCTGGAAGCTGGGTCAGGAAAGCAGCAGATCAATGGCCCTGGGGCCTCCAGAAAGGACGTGACCCCGCGACACCGTGACGTGTGCGCAGGGCTCCCCCGTCAGAATCACCTGCAGAAGTGCAGGTAGCCCATGTGGTGAGTCACAGAGCAGCAGGAGGAAACGAGCAGGGCCTGGCTGACTCATCTTGGTGGTTGTGGTTACCTGTTGGGCTGCAATCCACATGGTCTTTGGTTCGAAACCACCAACAGCTCCGAGGGGGAAAGACTGCGCTGTCTACTCCAGAGCTCCTGTAAATGGCGACAGTCTTGGGAAAGCCACAGGGGGTCGCTCGCGAGTCTGCCTTGACTCTGTGGCCAGGCGTGTGCTTTCATGTTGGGCTCAACTTTAACGAATCATTATTTTGGAAGTACCTTGCTGGTCTACTTTGAATTTCAATAAATACAAAAGAATTATGAAAATCTTCCCAGTGACATCCTGTTTCACAGTCACGTACTCACTTGACGGACTCTTCCCCATATTTTGATCTTGCTTCTCCCGCCAATACATTTTTTTAAAGGTTTGTTCCATTCTGTGGTGTATGGAAACCTTTCGATTCCTATGCAACAAGGACCGTTTTTCCATACTTTGTAGTCTGGCAGCCCCAGAATGCACTATGTTCTTGCTAGTTAGTGGTCTGGTTGATCTAGGAGCCCAGCACCGGCTGAAGTTCATGAGTCACTGCGAAAGAAGCCATTCTTTCGAGGGGTGAGGTACTATGGGACCTTCTGCCATGATGCAGTGTTGAGCATCTCCACTCTCCAATGGAGCTGGCCAAGTTGTTTAGTCAGTTCTGACTCATCAAATGCAGCCCCGTTTACAACAGAAGGAAACACTGCCCGGTCCTGCACCACCCTCACAAGGGCTGTTATGTTTGAGCCCACTGATGCAGCCACTGTGTCTACCCATCCTTACCAAGCACGAGAGGTTTCTCCAGGTCAGTATGTCCAAAGTGAGTGAGACAGAGTCTCACCGCCCTTGCTTCTAAGGAGCATTCTGGGTGTACTTCTTCCAAGACTGGTGTTGTTCTTCCGGTATTCTTTGCCAGCACCATAACTCAAACACGTCGATTCTTCGTCAGTCTTCCTTACTCGGTGTCCACCTTGCACATGCGTGTGAGCAAATGAACACCGTGGCCCGGGTCAGACACACCTTAGTCCTCAAAATAGCATCCTTGCTATTCAATACACCAATGAGGTACTTTGCAGCAGGTTTACCAAATGCAATAGGTCTTGTGATCTCTTGCTTGCTGCTTTCATGAGCATTGATTGTGGATCCCATTAAGACAAAATCCTGGACAACTTCAGCCTTCGCTCTGCCTCTCGTGATGTTAACCTGCTGGTCCCGTGGCGATTTTGGTTTTCTTTCCATTGAAGTGTAATCCCTACCAAATTTACTGCCATTGCGTCGGTGCCAAGTCAAAGGCACCCTACAGGACAGGGTAGAACTGCCCCAGGAGTTTCCGGCATTGTATCTGTTTAGGGAGTAGAAAGCCCTGTATCTGTTTAGGGAGTAGAAAGCCCTGTATCTGTTTAGGAAGTAGAAAGCCCTGTACCTGTTTAGGGAGTAGAAAGCCCTGTATCTGTTTAGGGAGTAGAAAGCCCTTCTTTCTCCCGAGGGTCAGCTGGTGATTTCAAACTGCTGACCTTCCGGCTCGCATCCCAACTCGTAACGACTGCACCGCCAGTGAGGTGGAGGCAAATACCATGTCTTGGAACAAGCACACCTTCGTCTTTGCTGCTTTTCAACACGCTAAGGAGCTCTTCGTCCCCAGATTCGCCTGCTGCAGTGCATCATTTGGTTTCTTGGATGCTGACTGTTGAAGAGATGCCACGGACAACGCCTACCCTCCTCTGGCTACGCAAAGGCGGAGGATCCAACGCCACAGCTGCCCAGGGTGTTTCCTGCGAGGCAGAGGTCAGGCGGGCATCCACCTCCGACCTTGTTCACTGTTTTCTGACACCAGCTGCCCTTCCCCCAGCCTTCTTCTCTGCTGGATTCAACACATTCTTGCAATGGCCCCACGGGAGTCAAAGACGATACTCATGATTCTGGGAGTTTATTCAGGAAATTAGCAGGTCACTACAAGTCAGGACCAGAATGCACTAAGGACTCTGTCCTTTTGTTGGCAGCACCATCCAGCACCATCCGCCATGCTGTGGGCACGTGTCTCAACACCATCGCCATGCTGTGGGCACGTGTCTCAACACCATCCGCCATGCTGTGGGCACGTGTCTCGCTGGTCCTCAGCCCCTCCGCCATGCCGGTCCTTGGCCCCTGCCCTGCTTAGGCCAATGATACAGAGATTTTTTTAAAAAATCATTTTATTGGGGGGTCATACAACTCTTATCACAATCCATACATACATCCATTGTGTGTCAAGTACATTTGTACATTTGTTGCCATCATCATTCTCAAAACATTTCCTTTCTACTTGGGTCCTTGCTATCAGCTTCTCATTTTTCCCCTTCTACCCTACTTCCCCCTCCCTCACGAACCTTTGATAATTTATACATTATTATTATTTTGTCATATCTTACACTGTCCAACATCTCCCTTCACCAACACTTTTCTGTTGTCTATCCATCCCTCAGGGAGGAGGTTATATGTAGATCCTTGTAATGGGTTCCATCTTTCCACCACACCCTCCCTGAGAGTGGTATCACCACTCTCACCACTGGTCCTGAAAGAGTCATCTGTCCTGGATTCCCTGTGTTTCCAGTTCCTATCTGTACCAGTGTACATCTTCTGGTCTGTCTTTATTATTGCTACTTAGTTTTGTAATGAGTCTTAACAAACTAGTTAGCCAGGAGGCACCTCATGTAGGCAAACACCCCTTTTAAATGCCAGCGACAAACTGAAAGTGAACATGCTGAGTGATGCCGACATTTAAATGCCTTTTTTGACCTTGTGTGTTTCAACTGGAGAGCGTAGCCGTAGCCACAGTGAAAGCGCGTGCTGTTGACCTGTTCTGATTACAGAAGACATGTTCTTGACTTCTGGCCATGTATATGCCTTCTGTGGGAGCCCTTGTGCCATAGTGGTTATGGAATTGGGCTGTGATCCATAAGGGTAGCTGTTCGAAACCCCCAGCAGCTCTGTGAGAGAAAGATGGGGTTTTCTGTTCCCGTAAAGGATTACAGTCTGGGAAACTCACAGGGGAAGTTCTACCCAGTCCCATGCAGTTGCGATGCATCGATATCGACTTGATAACAAAGTTTGGATTGTGGTACCTACTGAGGGTTGGATGAGTAGCATGATCAGCCGACCTTTCCCAGGGGAAGCAGATGTGCCTTTCCCACAGGCAGCTGGGTTTCTTTTATTGTTCACACCATCATCCTATTGCCCACCCTCCTAATCTTCCAGTCTTAAAGATGCTCATTGAAGAAGTCCAGTATAACGGGAGGTCAAGTGGCCAGATGGGGCAGACAAATCATGTTCTGCTTCATTTCCAAAGCAAAGACATTGCTATGGGTGGCTTCTGGGTTCATCCCAAAACACTGCCATCAAGTCGATTTCTGACTGCTAGTGACCTTGTAAAGCCCTGGTGGCAAAGTGGTTATGTGCTGGACTGCTAACTACAAGGTTGGAAGTTTCAAACCAATAGCTGCTCCTCGGGAGAAAGATGGGGCTTCCTACTCCCGGAACAGTTACAGTCTCAGAAACTCACAGAGGCACGTCTACCCTGTCCTATAGGGTCACTACGAATCAGCATCAACACCGTGCCAGTGAGTTTGGTTTTTTGGAGTGACCCTATATAGCTTAGGTTCCTAACCTTATTTGGTCTACACCTTCCTTTTTCAGAAAAAAAAAATTACTCAACACCTCCCCCCACCTTACCTTCGTGTATTAGTCTAGGTACTTTGGAGAAACAAATCCACAGTGACTCATGTATAAGAGAGAATTTTATATAAAGAAAATGTGCATCACGAAAACATCCCAACCCAATGTTGCCCAAGTCCACAAGTCCAACATTAACCCATTAACCCAACACCAGTCCACAAAGTCATCCACCGCACAAAACAGAGGCAATGACGCCAACTGCAGGAGGAAAGCTGAGTCAGTGAACGAATGAGCATCTCAGCACTAGCAGGGGTCTCCACACGGCTGCTCCAGCACCCAGGGCTGCATCGGGATAGGTCCATGTAGCTTCTCCTTGGGGATGTCTTGTAGGAAGTCAATCTTGCAAGCTGAAGCAGGGAGCTGCTAAGGCAGCTGCACCCTGGTGCGACCATCACAAAGCAAGAGACCTGACAACTAGAAAGGCAAGGCTCACCACCCATTTATCCCTCCGCCTTTCAATTAGCCCCACATGTGATTATTGGCCAGGCTGGCACAATTAACTAACTCACTTGGCAATTAAAAACACTATAGCCCATAATCCAGCATAAAGTGTAGGTATCTGTTATTACTGCCCCCTTGGATTATTCCAGCACCCCCACCTGGGGGCAGTCTTGCCCAGTTTGAGAAGCACTGCTAACTATGATTTCTGAGGCTACAGATCTTTATGGGAGTAGGTAGCCTCAAGTTTCTTCTGCAGAGAAGCTGCTGGGCTTGAACCTATGGCTTTTCAGTTAGTCATCCAGTACCTAACCCCCAGCACCGACAGGGCTCCTAGGCTCCATCCCAGGAGCACCGTGATGTCACAGGTCTCCAGGGCACTCTCCACCCAGGCCCACTGGTGCCTTGAATGTCTTCAGTGTGAGCCTTCAAGGTCTGGAACCAGACCTTTCCACCCACGAGGAAGCCCTGCAGATGTCCCAGGGACTCCTCTAGCCTGTGAGGAAGGTCCGAACTCTGCTGCTGTCGTGGGGGCCAGACCCCCGGGAGAAGGGCAGCACTGGTCAGGGGCTTCAGCGTTCATTTTCCAAGAACGCTCTTGCAAGTTAATTTTTGGGTGGAAATGTTATTGTGCTAAAATAGGTGATTTTTCTCATAAATCTGCTGCACAAGACACTGAAAAGCAAGAATGTTGCTTTGTGGACTAAGGTGTGCCTGACCTAAGCCACGATATTATCAATCAGTGTGAAAGTTGGACACTGAATAAGGAAGACCAGAGAAGAAATGAAGCATTTGAATCATGGTGTTGGAGAAGAATGTTAAAAGTACCATGGACTGCTAAAAGGACAGACCCTTCTGTCTTGGAAGAAGTACGTACGGTCAGCGTGTTCCGGAGAGGCAAGGATGGACAGACTCCATCTTATATACTTTGGACCTTTTGTCAGGAGAAATCGGTCCCTGGAGAGGGGCATCATGTCTGGTAAACTGGAGGGGCAGTGACAAAGAGGAAGACCTTTAACGAGATGGATAGACACAGAGGCTGCAGCCATGGGCTCGATCCCGGGAACAGTCGTGAGGATGGGGCAGGAGTGGGCAGAGTATAGCTCTAGAGCAGCAGGTCTCAACCTGTGGGTTGTGACCCC